CCTGCCCTGAAGATTTCACCCAGCTCCCACAATTACAAGAGCCAATTCCTTAAAATAATCCCCCTGCTATATGATATACAAATTTTACATATATATATATATATATATATATATATATCCTATTGGTTGCTTCTCTAGAGGAGAAACCCTGATTCAGAAACCTTTCAGATTTCCTGTGGAGTAGAGCCTGGCAGCTCCCTCGGGGTTTCTTCTCTGACCCCAGTGGGGAGGTAGTACATGCGCCCTGGCTGTGTTTTTCTCCTCCCAGCATCCCAGTTTCACACCTCGTAGCTCATCACTGCTTGTGTGAGGTCCTGCACACTGGCCGGCTATGCAGCTGCCATATGATATACAAATTTTACATATATATATATATATATATATATATATATCCTATTGGTTGCTTCTCTGGAGGAGAAACCCTGATTCAGAAACCTTTCAGATTTCCTGTGGAGTAGAGCCTGGCAGCTCCCTCGGGGTTTCTTCTCTGACCCCAGTGGGAAGGTAGTACATGCGCCCTGGCTGTGTTTTTCTCCTCCCAGCATCCCAGTTTGACACCTCGTAGCTCATCACTGCTTGTGTGAGGTCCTGCACACTGGCCGGCTATGCAGCTGCCCCAGGGCAGGGAGGCCTTTCTCCTGGCACACATGGTGGGTGTCTACTTCTTTCTATGTGGGATGTGGAAACAGCAGAGCAGGTGACAGCACTCATCCCCCCAGAGGCAACTGCCAGGGAACCTGGGGTGGGACCGATGCCTGGAGGCTGTGCCTCGCACATGAGGGAACCAAACTGCAGTGGGGGGTTTGCCTTCAATGTCCCTTCTGGCTCCCTCCAGCCTGAAACCCCTAGAGTTTTCTGGCCTGATGGGCAGCGTAAGTGGACGTGTGGGCATGGGGATGTCCACCATGCAGGCTCAGCCATCAGAAGAGCCAGGCTGTGGAAAAGGAGCCAGGGAACCCCAGCTCAATGCAGAACCTCTGGGGAATCCAAGGACCACGAGTCTGAAACTCCCGACAGGGCAGGGTCTTTAAACTTCCACTCATACCCTGTGGCCTCTCCAGTTCTCTCCCATCTCTGCCTCCACTTTGTGGGTCTGACTCCTTTGGGATGGCCATGCCTTCCCCAAGGTTGCAGTGTTTTTAGAGTGGCAGGACCCTCTCCCCACTGCCCATCAGGGCCTAGGGCTAGAATTTGAGCAGCCAGAATAGCAATCACTCTCCTCAAATGACCTGCCTGGGGCTCATGAGGCAGCCCTTTCTAAGTACTTGGGTTCTGTTTGGACCCACATCAGTGTCACCTGTCTACACAACCTGACTGAAAGACTGGTTTCCAACCCCTACCCACACTGGGTCCTGGGCATCCAGGATTGAGTCTTCTGAATGCAACCCAGCAGGTCTCCCTCTTGTGATTCAGAGAAGAGTGGTGGGCAAGGGACCCTCCCCCCAACACCCCACATGCTTGAAACCTCCCCTCCCCAGCTCTGCCTCAGGTCCAGGCTGCCTGGCCTAATTATAGGAAACTGGCCTCACACACTGTCACATCAGCCTCTGCCTCCTCTTGGCAGGTAACCAGAAAGCTTTTTCAGCCAGACGCTCAGAAGAAAACCTCCAGCCAATGAAGAGCTCACAGTGTGGAGCACAGTTGGCAGCCTCAATAACTCACGCCTTGTTTATTCTCACGGATGCTCACTCTTATCGTACTGCATGTGTTTCAACCACTCTGCGAATGTCCTCTGTCCAGAGAGAGAAAGTGGTTGTTTATTTCTTACTGTATGCGGGGATAGGGCTCCCTTAAAGGTTGTTAATATTATGCTGAAGGAAGAGGATGGGAAACTCAGATGCTGAAAGGAGAGCGCATACATGACTGGCCCTGGGGGTTCCTGTCCCAGAGTGAGGGTGGGGGACAGGAGATGAGAGGCAGCCTGGTGACAGTGGATGGAAGAGAGGGTGGGGCCGTGGCTTTTATCTATGTTGTACACCTATTTGGAGGCTTGGCAGGGGTAAGTGGTCTTAGAGTGAGGCCAAACCCCACTCCAGATTCCCCATGGCCTGGGTTCCAGGGCCCCTGGTGGCAATACTTTTCTGGTTGTGCAGTAGAGGCATTTCCGGGGCTTGCGCCCCAGAGCTGTCCAGGGTCCTGAAATACAGCCCTCTGGGGAATGCGCAGAGCACCGCCCCGCCCTCCCCAAGCCTCAAGATGCCCAAGACATCTCCCAGCTGTCACATCTCAGAGCTGCAGGTGGTCTTTGCTTCAACCTTTATCTGAGCAGTGCATATAAAGCTACTTCCTTGATGGAGAAAGTAGGGACACTTAGCCTCTGGCCAGTGGAGCCATTTCTGTTACATTCCATTGTTAAATTTCTTTATTCCAAAGTGGCCAAATGGGATGGGCTCACAGTCTTTGCAAACAAGCTGCCATAAGTTTAAGGGTCATGACCATTCAGCTTGTGGCAAACTCAAGCTCCGTATAAAATCTGTTATTGGGTTTTCCACAAGATAATCCTTTTTTTCAAAGGGGGCAATTGCGGCCAGGTTGGCTTTGTTGGGGAAAAGTGCCCAAGAGGTCAGGAGGGTCACCCAGCCCTGGGCTCTGTCAGCAAGGATTTTATTGCCAGTCTGCGCTCAGAACTCTGGCCTGACCAGCCTTGGAAAGTCCTTAGGCTCAGGGCCCTCTTGTGAAGTCTGCACAGGTAAAAATGGGTCAGGGTTCACAGTCCACCACCCTCCAGGTGGAGGGAATGCTGCCAGTGGGAGGTCACAGCTGTAGAGGCTGTGACCTCTGTAAGCACATCCTTGTCTCACTTTGCCTGCTGGCAAGATGCCTTCTGTAAGTGGCTTCTCAGCCCCACTCTGGGCCAAATCTGGCATGACTCATTTGCTCCAGAAAAGGAATATAAATAAGCACCATCACACCTTGACAAGCTGACAGGATTGACAAGCAGAGTAAATTCCCATATCTGAGACTCTGAGGAGGAGAGGTGATTTCACAGAGCCAGCTGCCGTCACCAGAAGAAAATAATTAAGGAAACCCGGCAGTGTGGAGGCAAACCGAGTATGCAGAGGGGCCTTTCTGGTGGAGGGATCTGTGATCATCGGCTGCAGGAGGAAACCCGCACGTATCAGCTGGAAATGAGCTTAGGAAGCTCATGCTGGGGACAGGCCTCATGAAGAGATGAGAAAGAGTGCAGCGGGGGTGGGAGGTGGCTAGCTAAGGGAAGGAGACTGTGGGCTGACAGGGGGATCCTGGTGAGGGGCTTAACTGTAGAAGCTTCTGCCTAAAGGTCAAACACCCACTGCTCACACCCCACCCTCCTGAGGGGTGCAGTCAGTTCTACATGGAGCTTTCCCCTCTCCATGGAAGAGTCGAGAAGGCCTGTTTCAGAGCTGACCCATGCACACACACACACACACACACACACACAATGCTCATAAGCTGGGGGATGCCCATAAAGGTGGAGACCCTTTGCCCTTTTCCCAGGGAAGGGTCAGCCCCTGGACAAAGAGGTCAAAGAAGAGTGCTGCAGCAGAAGAAAGATGCAGTGTGACAAGCTGTGTCTTCACTTCCACCTCTTTGGGGTCTTGGGAAAGGTCCTGGAAGGCTCAGGGAATTTAAGTTTCCCAACCCAGAGGTAACCTCACATCCTTTCACCTTGACTTGCTGATGAATGAAGAATTGTGGGCCCATCCTCAGACTGAGCAGTATAAGGCCAGGGTCATAGCAGGGGCTGAACCTGTAAAACTGGACCTCACAAGGAATCGGCAGAGTCCCTGAGTCAGGGACGGAGAGCCAGCTAGACTCCAGACACTGGACCTGTGCAGAGTTCCCAGAAACAGCAGGGGAAGTGTCTCCAGAACAACCCCTCCCCTCCCCCCCTCAGCAGCACCCAGAACTCAGCCAGGTGTGGTGGACACAGTGCCCCATTGTGCCAGCTGGGAGTCAGAGCTCTCCGCTTGTTTAAAGGATCATTGGCTCTGATTGTGACTGTGCCTGTGGCAAAGCCTCAGTGAAGCCACGTCCACTCACATGGCACAAGGGCAGGAAGAGCCCAATGCCTCCATGGCCTGGTAGGGATGGCGAAAGAGGCCAAGACTCCTAAATAGCACTGCCTTCTTGAAGGAAATCCTCTCATCCTCCCAAGACCTCCCTTCAAATGGGCCAAATCCTCTCTTCTTGGCCAAAGATTTGCCTCTCCAGAACTTACTCGTCCTGAGTGATCCCAGTCCCAGTGCAGACAAAGCCCCTCCTTGGTGGGGGCAGAGGGGATGATCCAGGGTGTGGCCAGTGATGCGCTGATCTCTCTCCATCTCCCCCTAGTCCCCAGCAAGGGCTTGCTGGGCAATCAGTCACTGTGTGGGGTTCTCCTCAGCCCTTTGGAGGAAACCAGGGTGGGCAGAATGAGATCAGCTCACCCTAGAGCTCCAGGACCAACTAGTGGCCCAAATTGCAAAGCAGATGCTGAGGTGAAGAAACTTTCCAAAGCCAGTGGGGAGGCCCCAGTCCAAGGGGAATGAGTGTGTTCCACTCCCAGACCTGTGTGCCAAGTACAGACACAAGTGTGCCATATTCATAGAGCCGAGGCATAGAGAGAAGATGGACAGATCTTCCCGAAGGGCCTTCCGTGTGTCTTAATGACAGTGTGAGGTGGGGGCAGCCTGTGAGGTTCCCAGCTGCTCCATTGAGCAGATGAGTGGGTGGGGCACCTTCTGGACTCTCCAGGTCACACTAGGATGTAGGATGCTCAGAAGTTAACATCAGGTGGGAGCCGGTGGGACCGTGTTTGCTGCACCCCCACTGTCCACGCGGGTCAGGGAAGTGGAAGGGCACTTGCACCCTGCCTTGCCTCTCCTCCTGGCCCCCTGAACTGTTTTTTCACAGCGCTCACACCAAGTGCCCTCCAGCCCAGGCACCCACAATCAGGAACCTATAGGCAGGTCCCACTGTTTACAGGAGTCCACGTGGTACTTCCATTGCCAATATTATCCTCTCTGTTTGCTTTTTAGGAATAAAGTTCAGCATCAGACCACAGCAGCCGCACAACGTGAGTTCTGAGAGTTTGATAAATCTCAGCATGGGCAGCTTGGGGAAGGTTGGGGAGGCCAGGGAAGAAATTCAGAGCTCACATTAAATCCATTCTTGGAAAGAAAAATGTGTCCTGCCTTTCCCAGGAGCCTTGGGAACAAAGCCGGGGACCTTGGACCCATGAATTTCCCTTTCCCGTGGATGGCGGCTCCCGCCTGTGCCAATAGAAGCGTTAAATCTGAGCCTGGTTCCTTCAGGCCACCAGCTCCTCCTTCGCCTCCTCGCCAGGAGGTTGTTCCTGGGAGACCTGCGCCATCTAGTGGCCAAAATAACACCCCCACCCCCGACCCCGCACACACACCACGGCCCTTGAGGGGAGAGGGCGTTCTGGGGGCTGGATGCGGGCTCAGACCAATGGGCTCGCATCCTGCAGGGCCAGGCTGTCCCCGTCGCCCTCATCTGAGAAAAACCTCAGCCCACAGAGGAGGCAGGGACCCCGGCCTTGGCGAGTGCCTGGTGCCGTGGGAGCCTTGGTGCCCAGCCGATCTGTCCACGCTGCTAACCACCTCTCTTCTTGCCCCAGGACCTCCCGCCAGGCAGTTCCCAGGATGGTCCCTTTAAGGCAGCCACGGAGAGGGTCGCCCGAGACTTGTCCAGCCGCGCCCCGCGGGGCCTGAGCCTGCGGGTGTCCCAGGACCCTCAAGCTCAGCTAAACGTGGGGGCCCGTCTGCGACCCCGGCAGCGCCGCCGACGGCTGCTCATCAAGAAAATGCCGGCTGCGGCGGCCCTCCGCGCCAACAGCTCGGCCGGCACGCTGGTCCGGCCGGCCCCCGGGGCCCTGGACGGCCGCTGGGCCAGCCTGAGCGAGACCCAGCGGGAGCGCAAGCGGGTGATGCGGGAGGCGTGCGCCAAGTACCGCGCGAGCAGCAGCCGCAGGGCGGTCACGCCCCGCCACGTGTCCCGCATCTTCGTGGAGGACCGCCACCGCGTGCTGTACTGCGAGGTGCCCAAGGCAGGCTGCTCCAACTGGAAGCGCGTGCTCATGGTGCTGGCCGGGCTGGCCTCGTCCACCACCGACATCCAGCACAACACGGTGCACTACGGCAGCGCCCTCAAGCGGCTGGACACCTTCGACCGCCAGGGCATCCTCCACCGCCTCAGCACCTACACCAAGATGCTCTTCGTGCGGGAGCCCTTCGAGAGGCTGGTCTCCGCCTTCCGCGACAAGTTCGAGCACCCCAACAGCTACTATCACCCCGTCTTCGGCAAGGCCATCCTGGCCCGGTACCGGGCCAACGCCTCTCGGGAGGCCCTGCGGACGGGCTCCGGCGTGCGGTTCCCCGAGTTCGTGCAGTACCTGCTGGACGTGCACCGGCCGGTGGGCATGGACATCCACTGGGACCATGTCAGCCGACTGTGCAGCCCCTGCCTCATCGATTATGACTTTGTGGGCAAGTTTGAGAGCATGGAGGACGATGCCAACTTCTTCCTGAGCCTCATCCGCGCGCCGCGGAACCTGACCTTCCCCAGGTTCAAGGACCGGCACTCGGAGGAGGCGCGGACGACAGCCCGCATCACCCACCAGTACTTCGCCCAGCTTTCTACCCTGCAGCGGCAGCGCACTTACGACTTCTACTACATGGACTACCTGATGTTCAACTACTCCAAGCCCTTTGCAGACCTGTACTGAGGGGCGGAGCCGGCCCACCCACTCACGGGTCCGCAGGGGCATCCCACTCCCCCTTGGGTCCTCACCTGGGAGCTGAGATGTACCCAGAGCAACAGGGCTCTGAGGAGGCTCTGAGAGTGGCGCAGGCCCTTCGGGGGGGACAGAGGCCCAGGCCTTGGACCAGACCCTGGCCCTTGTCCCATAACCCCCTTCCATACTCCTCAAATAAGGAAGATCCTGGGGGGTGGGGGCGGTGAGCTGGACACTCCAGAGTCCCGGCTGCCCACACCCAGCTCCGCCAAGAGTCAGGATGACCAGGGATGACCAGGGAAGTCTGAGGCCCAGCGGACGAGGGCCCCAGCGGTAAGGGATTTCCCTTATTAGCATTGCCTTGAACCAAACCGCATGGTTTGCAGCTTTTCTACGACCCAGGGGGGAGTTTCCCTTGGAATGAGGTTTGAAATAAAGCACATGGTTTCCATAGCAGGGGCTTCTATACTTTATGTGTTGGTGCGGGAGCACAGGGACCCTTCCCCGGGGCTTTCTGGGGCTCTTTCTCCCTCGGAAGGATGGTGGGAGCCAGGCGCCTGCAGGCCCCGCCCAGGGCATGCGCAGAAGAAGCAGAGGCCCCAGCAGTGTCGGTTCAGGGCCCGCAGTTGCGTCTCCACCCGGGCTCCCAAGGCCAGGACGCCACCAACGAAGTCCTGAGATCTCAGTACCGGCACACTTCTTCCTGAAAGAAGACAGACCTGTCCCCGTGGAGGTCCTCCTATCAGTACACTTTGTGGGGGCTTTCTGGGGACTGCCAGAGCACTGACAAGCTCTCTAGACCAGCTGGCCTTTGGAGTTGCCCCTGCGATCAATACTACACTGCACATGGGTCTCAGGGGGTGTGGCATTTCCAGGTGAGAATGATGCCATCCCTGGCTCTCTTTTCTATTTTATTTTATTTTATTTTATTTTATTTTATTTTGGCTGTGCTGGGTCGTTGTTCCTGCACACGAGCTTTCTCTAGTTGCAGTAGGAGGGTTTTTCATTGCAGTGACTTTTCTTGTTGTGGAGCTTGGGCTCTAGAGGACACAGGTTCGGAAGTTGTGCGCTGAGGCACGTGGAATCTTCCTAGACTGTGGATTGAGTCCATGTTCCCTGCATTGGCCAGCTGATAATTAACCACTGGACAACCAGGGAAGTCCTGTCTCTGTCTTTCTGAACCTTGGGACAAACAGGGCTTTGGCCCAATGATGTCATCTGCAGACCCCCTAACACTGGCCTTGATCCCTGACTTTATTCACCTGACAGAACCACCTCAAAGCCACCAGGGTTGCCTGCTTCTATTTGAACCAGCACTGGTGGAGGGAGCGGAGAAGCTGCGGAAGAACCACCTCCTCCAGAAACTCACACTGTCACATGCAGAAATGGTTCTGAAATTGTCAAAAACCAGGGTGACTCTTGAAATGTCTCAGAGAAAGTGTTGGAGCGCTGAGTGTGGGCACGACCGTGGCAGTTTTGGGGTCTTGTTTTAATGGGAAGTGCTGCCTGGCAGTGTCCTGAGATCTCAGTACCGGCACACTTCTTCCTGAAAGAAGACAGACCTGTCCCCGTGGAGGTCCTCCTATCAGTACACTTTGTGGGGGCTTTCTGGGGACTGCCAGAGCACTGACAAGCTCTCTAGACCAGCTGGCCTTTGGAGTTGCCCCTGCGATCAATACTACACTGCACATGGGTCTCAGGGGGTGTGGCATTTCCAGGTGAGAATGATGCCATCCCTGGCTCTCTTTTCTATTTTATTTTATTTTATTTTATTTTATTTTATTTTGGCTGTGCTGGGTCGTTGTTCCTGCACACGAGCTTTCTCTAGTTGCAGTAGGAGGGTTTTTCATTGCAGTGACTTTTCTTGTTGTGGAGCTTGGGCTCTAGAGGACACAGGTTCGGAAGTTGTGCGCTGAGGCACGTGGAATCTTCCTAGACTGTGGATTGAGTCCATGTTCCCTGCATTGGCCAGCTGATAATTAACCACTGGACAACCAGGGAAGTCCTGTCTCTGTCTTTCTGAACCTTGGGATAAGCAGGGCTTTGGCCCAATGATGTCATCTGCAGACCCCCTAACACTGGCCTTGATCCCTGACTTCATTCGCCTGACAGAACCACCTCAAAGCCTCCAGGGTTGCCTGCTTCTATTTGAACCAGCACTGGTGGAAGGAGGGGAGAAGCTGCGGAGGAACCACCTCCTCCAGAAACTCACACTGTCACATGCAGAAATGGTTCTGAAATTGTCAAAAACCAGGGTGACTCTTGAAATGTCTCAGAGAAAGTGTTGGAGCGCTGAGTGTGGGCACGACCGTGGCAGTTTTGGGGTCTTGTTTTAATGGGAAGTGCTGCCTGGCAGATGCTGCACCGTCTGAATCACCTGGCAGTTTCTAGGGCCCTGTCTGTCTGTCTGTTTGCCACTTTGGGTCTCATCTTTCTGTCAGCCTGTCCCCCAGCAGCCTGCCGCATGCCCTCCTGGGTCTTTCTGTAGCCTGTCTGCGGACCCCTCCCGGGAGATTGCTCTGTCTGTTCCCACGTACTAAGGGGGAAGCTCCCAAACCCTGACAGGAAGCTGTTGGTCCTCAGGGTGAAACAAGCTACTGGATCCCAGCCAGGCTCACGCTGGCATGAGCTACTCCATCTTTCTTTTGGGGCTCTAGAAAGTTTAAAAGTAGTAGAACAAAGGGGTTGAGGCTGCCCCCGCCTGCTCCAGGCCACAGGCATCCAAGAATGCTGAGTAGCACAAGACCTCCCCTTGGGTTGCAGCTGATAGCGACCTGGGCCATGGGACAGAAGGAATTCACAGGGGCAGGGAGGAGGCCAGGGTCAGGGTCCGGGGGACTCGAAGGTGTGGAAGGCAGGAAGAGGCTGAGAGGCTGACCCACACCCAGGCCAGGGCCAGGTCAATGTGAGAGGAGGCAGGGAGGGCCTGGCTCACCATGACCCAGAAACTGCCTCTTCTGGGCTGTGGTGCCCACAAAGTGAGGCAGAATTCACCATGTAGAAACAGTGTCTCAGGTCGAGGACACATTTGGCAAATGTGTCTCCAGTATTCTTGCCTGGAGAATCCCATGGACAGAGGAGCCTGACAGGCTATATAGTCCATAGGGTCGCACAGAGTCAGGCACTACTGAAGCGACTTAGTACGTATGCACGTGACAAAGTCACTGGTCTGCTCAACAAAGAGAGACCCAGCAGCCAGGCTGGGGCAGCCTGCAGGGCGTCTTCACCCAGTGCTGCCGCTTGGAGACGATCAGGATTGCCCCAGGAGCCATCCTTCCATGGTGTGAGCGTGTGTGTGTGTGTGTGTGTGTGTGTTTGTGTGTGTGTGTGTTGGAAAGTAGGAAAAGATACCTTGTGTCATCTCACAGAGACAACCAGTCCTGGGTTGGGCAGATGTACACACACAACACAGGCTTCCCAGGTGCACTAGTGGTAAAGAACCTGCCTGCCAATGCAGGAGATGCAGGAGACTGGGGTTCCATCCCTGGGTTGAGAAAATCCCCTGGAGGAGGGCATGGAAACCCACTCCAGTATTCTTGCCTGGAGAATCCCCATGGACAGAGGAGCCTGGGGGGGGCTACAGTCCATGGACATGACTGAAGAGTCGGACACGACCCAAGTGACTGAGCATGCGCGCACACACACAAACCGTCCATCAAAGAGGGTCTTTCCTCTGGCAGCAGTGGCAGGGGGCACAGTCCAGGCGATGATCATGATCACCATTTGATGGCCTCCAGCACGAGCTCCAGAAGCCCAGCCCCGAGACCTCACCCTGGATCCACTGAGGTGGTCCTGGACCCAGCTCCAGCCCCCAAGCCCAGCCTCATCTAGCCCTAGGGCTTGGAGACAGTGGACTTAACTGCTGACACAGGAAAGTGTGTGTGTGTGTGTGTGTTCCTGGGGGAGGAGGGTAGCATGCGAGTCTGTGTATGTGTATATTTGTGAGTAGTGTGGCAGGGATCTGTCTTAGGGGCATCTGTGTCTGGGGTGAGAGTGTGTGTACACGCGTGTGAGCCTGTATATGTGTTGAGGGGTTGGGGGTACTGTGGACAGTCCTCCTTTGTTCACCACTTTGTGGGGTATAGTCTGAAGGGGGCTGTTTGGGTCAGGGACCCAAGAAAGGGCCACAGGCTGCCCCCAGGGGTCATGCAGGTCCATCAAGTTAGAAAAATAACCACTGAACTCCCAGTGCCCTTTGCGGGCTTGGTCCTCCAAATGGGCTCCTTCTGGGGCAGCCCGCAGTGAAGCCCCTACCAGGCCTTTGTCCTGACAGTGGCTAAGACCTCCCCAGATGCGAGCCCAGCTCTCTGAGTGTTAAAGAGCATGCATGTATGCTAAGTCACTTCAGTCATGTCTGACTCTTTGTGACCCCATGGCTATAGCCCACCAGTCTCCTCTGTCTGTGGAATTCTCCAGGCAAGACAGAATACTGGAGTGGGTTGTCATGCCCTCTTCCAGGGGATCTTCCTGACCCAAGGATTGCACCCACATCTCTTCTATCTCCTGCACTGGCAAGCCGGTTCTTTATCACTAGTGCCACCTGGGAAGCTGGCTAAAGAGAATAGATGTCCCCCAAACCTAGGGTCCCCATGAGACCCGTGAGCCCCACAATCCCTGGGGAGATGAGATGCCAGGTCAAGCCAGGCAGCACCTCTGGCTCTCAGACATGACAAAACCCTCCTGTCTGCTGCCACCATGGGCCCTGGCCATCCAGATAGTGGTGGGCAGGCAGTGGATGGAGGGACAGTTGTCCAGCATCCTCTCCCCTTCCAGGCAAGGCTTGTCAATTTCATCCCCAGACTGAGTCCCCTTGGTGGGGGATGGGAGCCCCAGGAGAGACCTGAGGGCAGGAAGTGGTCTCCTCTCTCTCCCACCATCCTCTCAGCCCTCTCCTCTCTGGGAGCACCCATGGCTAACCAAGGGAATTTCCTCCTGGTATGTCCCCCACCTCACACAGTGCTGGGGGACCAGAGCTGGGACAGGATGATTAGTGTTGACCCATGGCCCCAGGACCCCTGGTGGCTCAGACGGTAAAGAATCAGCCTGCAATGCAGGAGACCTGGGTTCAATCCCTGGGTTGGGAAGATCCCCTGGAGGAAGGCATGGCAACCCACTGCAATATTCTTGCCTGGAGAATCCCCATGGGCAGAGGTGCCTAGTGGGCTATAGTCCCTGGGGTCGCAAAGAGTCGGACACCGCTGAGCTACTAAGCACTTAGCACAGGGCCCCAGGAATGGACCAGGGTGGTCTCCAGGACCTGGGGGTGGACGGTCTGGGGCTGAGCAAGGCTGAAATCATCCTGCCCCATCTCTGGGCCCCCCTGCTGGTGGGTACAATGACCCTGGATGAAGCTGGCGGCGTGTGTCAACCTTAGCTCCTCTTGCTGGAGAGGGCGGCCTCCAGGGTCTACAGGGGCCCAAGCGAGGGAGAGGGCCTGTGAGCCCTGAGCTT